AGAGAATTAGGAGTTGTTTTCAGCAAAAATTACCTCAAGAAACTAAAAATTGATACTTAGAGAGGATTAATTGTCAACCTAGGTTGAAATCAAATTCTAAGGAACAAAATCGCACACTTATGGTGACTCTAAGGTTTTTTTTGTAAATCAAAGAATGGGATTTGGGAGAAGACTTCATAGGATTTTTTAAAGCATTTGTTTTGAAAAATTTGAGTTTATAACAGTATTGTAAGAACTTTGCAAAGTCAAGGTTGTTTTAGATGACTCTAGATTTCGTGAAATAAAATAAGATTTATAATTTAGGCAATTTTGTAAATTTTGAAGGAAATATATGTATAAAATTTTATAGCATTGTGAGTATAATTGTGTTCAACATATTTTGTGAATTTTAGCTTAATTATATAGTTGGATTAGATGTTATTGAAGTTCAAATAGATTTATATATCAAAAAATGGATTTTTAGGTCCAATAAGGTTATCTAAGATTTGCAATAATTTGCTAGTTGAATTGAGATGATTTTTATTGGAGCTATTAATTGACTTGACTTCCATTACTTGTGTAAAATTTGAGAGAAATTTATTGGTTCAATTAAGAGTTATTACTATTCGAAGATCAATATTAAGAACAAAGATAGAGGTTGGTTGATACCAGAGTAGATTATGACATTTTTCTCCCATTTTGTAAGTTTGATTTTCTTCAAATTTATTATACTTGTTATTAACTAAGAAATTGAGAGGTTTTAAAATTTTAAGTAAGATCAACAATTTAATCAATAAGGTTGGTTTGAATTCATTAGATTTTGATTAGGATTTATTTAAAAATTTATTAGGAGTTGATTTAGGATTTGATTTAGAATTTATAATATGATTTAGATTGATTTAAGGTTTAGGATTTAATTAAGGTTGATTTAGGATTTAGGATTTTTTTGAGATTCTTTAATATTTCTTTAAGATTTCTTAAAGTTTTCTTTAAGATTCTTGTGGATTTCTTTAAGATTTTTGTGAATTTTTTTAGATTTTTTTTAGGATTTTTTTATTATTTCTTTATGATTTTTTTAGAAGTTCTTTAGAATTTATTTGTATTTTTTTTTATAATTTCTATAAAATTTTAATTGGACTTGATTAATATTTGATTATATTTTATAAACTTTATTTGTATTTTATATATGATTCTATTAGAGTTGTTAAAAAAATTTCTTGAATTTTTTTTTTTTTATCTTCCACAATCAAGTGCCTAGTACATTCTTAAGGAAGATTTTGCATAATACAACAGCACGTGACACATGGCTAATTTGTTGGTCAAATTTTTAACCTATCAATCACCTATAGATATGTATAAAGGTGAAACTGGGTCTATAAAGCTTTTCAAAAGCTTTTCTAAAAGATATTATGAAATTAATCTACTTTTATCTACTTCTATCTATTCATATTACTTAGATAAGTATTAGAATAAATACATATGACTGTAATAAAATATGCAGCAACCTATTTTTTGGAGTGGAAGCATACATGGTACAAAAACTTATCTATTATCTATCAAAATCTTATTCCATTAAAAAGTTTATTACCATCATTTATTTTGTGAGAAAGGCCTATCTTTATCCTTAGATGAAAAGAACTTTTTGTAATTGGTCAAAATATTCTTTTAAATATACCATATATATAGAAGATAATTGAGTAGAGCATATATCTTTTTTATATTTTATGAGTGTCAAGTCTTTATTAATATCAATGCTGATAGGTTGTAATTTTTTATATATTACTTTTAATTGTATTAATATCTAATACAAAAAATAATGTATATTTTTTCACAAGAATATAATTCTAATAGTAAAAGATATATTGAAGCTTATAATTCCTACAACATGTAGCACAGGCATCCAAAACTTATTTGTCTTGTATGTGCAATCTGTAATAATATAATATAGAGGCTTTTTTATTAACTATACATATCCTGAATGAACAAAAAAACACAATTAATTTTATTTGTCTCATCATATTTATAGGCATAATAATATGAATCATCACAAAGATTTTCTATCATGATATGGATTGGTGAATAACTATAAAGATGAGCCATACCAATTTATTAGTGCTTATTATAGATAGCGTATGCAACTACTAGATTTGTAGAGACTCCTTAGTATAAAAGAATAACAATGTCTTTTAGAACTACCACTACAACAAGCACTTGAGCTGTTAGAGCTTTTTGTATAGATTAGATACAATGAACAATTGAATAGCCTACCAATAATATCAAGGAACCATGGTTGTGTCTTATATTTCAAATTGACAAATGCCAACACTTGTTAGTGTATAAATAATAAGTATATAATTCAAAAAGATATCTTATCAATTATATAGTTGAACTATACTGATGAATATATGCATTAGATCGATTGTAAGTGCAACCTTTATTGCACTTAAAGGCATGCAGCCCTTATTAGAATAATGTTGAAAAATTGAATAATCTTGGGCATTCAAAAACTAATCTATTCATTTCTTTGTTTTTTCATAACAAACATATGATTACTTCGGAAGAGGGTCCATTCCTAGTATATTTTTTTATTTTGAAATAGTAAAATTTAAAGATGCCTATAACATCCTTTCTTAGGTAAAAATTAGCATAATATGAATTATACAAGTAAGATTCTAATAGTAAAGAAAAGAAAAGAAAAAACTATAAGATAAGAGTTGCAAAGAGTTTGTAAACTTGAACTTTATAAAGCAACTGTTAGCATTTGATTGTAGCTATCAAAGTTGAATTATTTAATAATCATGTTTCTATGAATAAATTATTTTTATACACAAATTCACCATAATTAATTTTATTTAAATAAAATCATATTTATTGTAATATGTTGTATTGTGCCAATATTATTTCTAATTTAATATTACCATAGATATTATTTTATTTATGTAGTGATTATTTTTGTTGAAAATTGATAATGGTGGGATCAAAATAACAACAAGTGAGATCAATTTAATATTTTTTTCATATATATATATATATATATTTGAAAGTTACTAAAGTGATATATCTATATTATTAAAACAACACCTTACATGGATACATTTCTACTCTTCCTTCAACTCTTGCTTTCTTATGCTACTCTCTTTTTATGCAACTCTCTACTTATATCTACTCCAACTCTCTCATGTTGCTCTTTACTTATGTCTAATCCTACTTACTCTTGTTGCTCTCTACTTATATATACATACTAAATCTTCTCTTTTAATGCTTCTGCTATCCAAATGTGGGTCATTATGGTAGCCAATCCTCTCCAAAGTATCCCAAAAAGAATTCTAAAGTGCAATTCCAAAAAGAATCGTAATACAAACAACCACAACATGTTTTGGAGGGTGGCTTTAACAATATAGGACTATGGCTTTAGCAATTTCCTATTTTTCTAGAAATTATTATCTATCATCTTCTCCTCAAAATATAAAAACCTCCAAAAACTTGTTTCCTTGCTTACCACAATTCTCTCTAATTAAACAAAATATTATACTCCCTTAAGCCATTTCAATTATTTATATGATCTCATGATTATCTACTGACGATGTACTGTGATTCTCCCATACACAAACCCTTGTAAACCCAAACATAGACCTCATTCTAAATACAAGTCCTACCCTATTCAAAACCGATTATTTCCAACACGACGATCAATCTAACATGTTTGCTAAGAGAGTATATTAGAGAGATTGGCGGAAAGAGTGAAGCGAGGTTAAGCAAATAGTTGCTATCAGGACCAGGGAATAGCGAGCTGTTGCGATCATTCCGACGAGTCGGACCTTGTTCGCCGCCCTCCAATTTAACGTCTGTTGCGATCATTCCAACGAGTCGGACCTTGTTCGCCGCCCTCCAATTTAACGTCGCGTCGTGCGTGGGGGGTTTTCTCAAGTCGCCGCAGTTTCGTTCACCAACTCTAAAATAGTTTCTTCCATGCAAGTCAACAATCTTGTACAGACACTCCAACACAGTTTTAATAATATTCTGAAAGTTGTACTGGTCCAGATATCACTGCAACACAATAGACCCAATCAATTCACACAGGTAAATAAAGATATGTCAAATGCATTTCCGCTATGCATTCCGATCTCTATCTTTCAGAGTTGTTGTCGCCACATTGGTGGTCTGTAGTATGAACTAGCACCAAGCCTTGATTCGAAATCTACCGTTAAAAGTAATATGGAAAAGGAGCAGCGTCGACGACCAGTTGGATGAGAGTGATGAGTTGAAAACATGTGGGAAATATGGATTTACAATGGATGGAGGAGAAGCAGGGAAGCATCGCCGAATACGTGCGAGGATGAGAGCGGGGCTTGACCGGTGCTAGGAGATTCTGGAATGAGACAGCAACTCCAGGCTCCTTTTGCTAATCGGCGCGAGAAAGTCGTCTCCTCCGTGAACTAAAGCAGCAGATGGAGTTACAATCTCGAATTCATGAGCACCATGAGCTCTCCCCCCACGTTTTTGTCTCGGTGTGACTCATCGAAGCATTGAATGCTGGTGGCCTTCTGCATCCATGGCATCCCATCTCTTGCGTCATTCATTCGCTTCCGGAAGGGCGTGCCTCCAGTGTTTATGGCGTGCGACATTTGGGAACTCCAGCCAACGAATCCCTTTCCTTAATGGATTAAATCCCGAGTGTGGTTCCAAGGAGACCGCCGAGTGAGCCTATTGCGATGTTGAAACACGAGGGGGAGGTTAGAGCCGAAAGATAGCTAGTTCAATTTAGATGATATCTAACTAATGAGATAATATCACTATTCGGAGGAGGCAGTTGTTGACTATGGAGATTTGTAACGAAAGAGGACCTGCTGTGTATAAGTGGGCCTCCTCCCCTTCATGAAACAATGAATTTCTATTTATAATTTTCTTTTCTAAGGGCATGAAACGAATATAAAAGTTAGTAGATTGATCCATCACATTTCCGCATTTGCTTTTTCTTCGCCCATTTTCCCGCACTGCTGCTCCCTTCACTGTCGGGGACTGCCCAGATCGACTCGTAGAGACTAATCGTGGCTTTCCAGACGATGTTGATCGCGAGATACATCTGGCGATGTGATGTAACGGAAGTGGTCATGTCGAATGAAGAAAAGATCCTGTCTGGCGTCGTAAGTTGTCAGAATGCCAACATTTGTCAAGCTTTGAATGATAAGCAGTTTATGCAGTAGCGCATAGACTTTGAGTGTGCGGCTGATAGTATGGTCACGGTGGAGGAGGGGAGTCGTGGCGCATGTTTTCGCTGCGTACCTATCTCGTATGTGTACTCAATCTGCTTTAGAATAGTCACGTAATGTTCCGTGTCGATTCTTTTCTGTGTTAAATGGCGTAGTTCAATCACCGCACGACTAGATCAAGGCCGACCAGGGTCTTTGGGCACGACGATAGCTCTCTCCAGGTGTCAGCTTATCCACATCCCCCGTGGAAGCTCTTTATACTTGTGCTTCGTTACAAGTATAAAGGAGCAGGGATTCGGGATCACGACATTGTTTTGCCATTGGGGATAGGGGCAGACGATGCTCAACCTTGACTAACAGCAGGTGTGAATCAACACTTGTAAATGTCGTTTGAGTTGGTATTGCCTTGCGCTACTTGTTACTTGAATTCCGGTTGCTTGTGTGAAATTTCATTGTTCTCATGCTTTTGCATTTGCTGGTGTTCTTTCGGTTAAAGTTTACCGGCTTGTTGATCTCGATTCCATCTTCAAGTTTGCTGGCATTCGAGGCCACAAGTCCAGAGCACTTTCAAGCTTTTACACACAATTAGAGGTGTAATGTCCCTCCACTGATATAAACATAGAGTCCTAATTTCCATCGGAGTTGCATGTACCTTGATTGAGGCTAGAAAGTTATTCTGCTGTTTAGGGCTTCTTCGAAATTGTGAGCATGTCGCTCTATTCAATTTGACAATAATGAAACTAATGTACAGAGATGGAGCGCCTCGTAGTTGTACTGATGGCGGCGGCGGTTTTGCTGTCGTCTACTGTTGTAAAGGCAGCTTTACCACCTGACAACGTTTCAGTTCAATGGAATCTTCTCCTTAACGGGCTCATTTGCAACGTCACTGGTTATCACGATCCCATTATTATTCAAACTGGTATGAATCTAGCGCAGTGGCATGGGTTGTTGGCCTTGAAACAGACGGGGGGCTGCACTAAGCCAGAGGCCGTGATCGCATACGCCAGTAGAGAAATCCTTGCAAATTACTTTCCTCAGCAACAGGATCGCGTACTTGACCCATTCCTTGCAGCCAAACTTGTGGCTTTGAAACTATCTAAATCAGAAAAGAAGCTGGCGAAGAGGTTGGGCGAAGCTGTGGCGCGTCGCCTCCTAAGTAAACGCGAAATTGCTTACGAGTTCGCTCTCGACGAACTCAGGGACGCAATCAATGCTCGTCAGGCAAACCCGACGCCCGGACTAATTCGATTCCTGCCAAACGACCCAGTCTTCGGTCCAGATGCATTCTTTGTTACACACAACATAGCCTTACAGCAGCCCTACGTAATACCAGACCCCGTCAAATACGTCGAGGAACATCTGGGCGACCTTAAGCCGATGAAGGTCCCATCCGACGAGTGGGACGTTCAATACGATTTTCTCAAAGACATAGGTCGGATCGATTGGCCGGGACGCACGTACGACATGAACTACACCGCCAGCCTTTACTTGTGCGGGCGCGCGAACACAACCTACTGTTTAATCATCGGAAGTTTCTGGACGGTCGCCACCATCAACATCTTACCAGCTAACACAACCCTCTACGATATCGTTGAGACATTCGCAAAGGTCAGCGTGGCTCTTCACGACGCACTAATCGTGGTGGCGCAACAGAAGGATGGGTACTGGTTCTGGCGACCCCAGATGGCGTACGAAGCTGGAGATGCTCGTCACCAACCGTGGCCGACTTGGACACCCTACGGTAGAGTGATCTTCACTGGTGAGTACCCAAGTGGGACCACCATGAGCTACGGCGCTGCAGCAACTGTCTTGCAGAGCTACTTCGGAAAAAAGAAAGTCCCATTCACGGTTGACGGAGGCGGCGTTTTCGAGGGCACTTCGTGCTACTTAGCCGGTACTAAAGTGAAGTCAAGACGGTTTGAATCTCCATGGGCAGCCGTGGAAGAGGCGAAACTGGGCAGAATGTACGTCGGATCCCATTACAAATTCTCTGTTGACGATGGTGCCGAAGCAGGACGAAGAGTCGCGGAGTATGTTCTGAAGCATTGGGGAGATCGTCCGGCGTCTGGTGTGCTTCCGGACAGTGAGTATTTGAATGTGTATGCTGAACTTCCGAAGAAGTCAGGCGACTGGAACCCTCTCCAGTATAGGTACTGATCGTCAAGTAGATTCATAATCGTCACGGGAGTATGCCCTGGCTGAATTCCATCTGCAGGAAATCGCTACTAGATCGATTTGTGCTGCTCTCTTTTTCTCATAACATACTAAAGTGACCAGTCATTGTAGATAAGTAACACGCCGAGGACGGTTTGAAAGCTTTCAGAGTTTTGTTTATGATCCACAGAGGTTGCAAATCCTCTACTGACAGCCTTGTGTGGAATCGACAGCCAATACCCTTTTTCTTTTCTTTTCTTTTGTTTTTCAATTTTAATTTTCGCTAGATAGCACCTTAGCTTGCTTCACATATCTTCGGATGCTTTGTGTCTAAACGTCACTTCTAGAAGTTTCTTCTCGGATTCAATGTGAAAATAAGCTATAGCACTATGTAATGACTACATACAAAAATGAATGCTTCAACATTGTGAAATATGAACATGAGTAAGTTATTGCAATACATATCTTAAAAGTAATGTATTCGATAGGTGAGAAGAATACAGTTGAATACTAAGAACTCATTTAAACATGTTAAAGTTTGGAAAAATAGACATGATAATGATAATGGATGGATTGAGAAGCTTATCTAAATTATTTATGGTGTTGGATTGAAAATATGAATATAGTGAGATGTTCAGTTTATGTTTTGAGTGAAAGAAGACAAATGAGTGATTGCAAGGAATATATAGAATTAGTGAGTCTGTGATGTGATAAAATTGTATACTAATATTGTTATAAAAATTGAGGTGAAAATTGCAGTCAAAATTTAATTAACTAGTTTCATGTGTTACAATGAAGAAAAGAAGTAGAATTGACTATCCAAAACATTAATATATTAGTAAAATATAAATTTTAAAACTTAATCATCTCAAGATTTATACTAAAAATTAAATAATTGATTATATATTTATATGTTTTTATCTCAAATAATCTTTTAACAAAATAGAAATTTTTATTTGTACAAATTGTTTTGGTATTTTGATTATACAAAAATTCCTAATTTTTTAATATGTTAAATTAAAAGAAAAAGTAATTTTGTATAAATTATTATTATTATTATTATTATTCATACATTGTAAAAGCTATCCAATTACAATTTGCAAAGTAATTAAACACTTCGTATTGTTCCTATATTTTTAAAAAAACCTCAATTTTCTAATTGCATGTTATATATCACATTGTTAAAAGTGTATTTTACAAAGATACTTTTCTAAAGTAACAGAAACTATTGAAAGCACATAAAATACTGTTATTTCAACCAAATATATATTTATAATAAAAACAGCATAACAATAAAATTAGAAATTATTACACAATATACAAAAAATTTTGAAGGTATATTTTTGATTATTCAAAATATTTAAACAAGATTATTAAAAAAATAAAAATTTAGACATTTACAGTTTTATTCTCAGAAATGACTTCATAAGAATGTTAGTAATTTAATCTTGCATTTATGACACTACATAAATTAATTGATACATGCACTAATGGATATTCAATTTTAGTTTTTTATTATAATTTATATATTTATATATATACATAAATTATAATAAAAAGTTTCATAAAAAAATTATATCTTTACAAAAATAAAAAAATTCACACAACACTATTTTAAAATCCAGGAAATACACAATCAAGATTTGAGGTATACTGTTTACAAATGAAACAGATAAATATCCCATTACTTTCAAGATTAAACAAGATATGATTATTTGGATTTTTTTTTTTTTTTTTTTTTTTTTTTTTTCTTGTAAGGGGCCAGGTACAAGGATTGTCTCTCATTGAATCTTTTAGAATTGATTTTCTTCCGTTCTTGCTTATCATATTGATCTCATGTATTCACTCTGTATGCAGAATCACTGAGCATATTTCTCCTTCTACGTCAAAAACGAAAAATCAAAATCTAACCCCATCTCAAATCCCAATGAAACGGGTAAAGAAATTCAACCCAAGATGCGGCATCGATATCCGGTGAATTACCCGGTCCGGTTCTCTGCTCCCAACGAACAGAACCGGACATCGAATGGGGTGGATGTCGTTCGTTGGCCGAAGTGGATGAACGTAGCCTCTCGCTCGCATTCTTGTTCAAACTTTCTCCCTCTCTCTCACTCACGTTGCCTTCCATTATATTTGTTTTTGCCTGCCTTAGCTTCGACTTGCAAATTCAGTTGCAAGCCTCCTCGTCCTCCTATTCCTCCATGTGGGCTGGCATTTGGCGTCGCTCATCCTTGCGCACTGATCTTCATGTTCCTTTCTTCAGGTGATTCTCCTCCTACTCATGAGAGAGAGAGAGAGAGAGAGAGAGAGGCGTAGAGGGATCCGGTTCAATAATCTGTTGTGAATTTCTCCTCCTGTCTGTAGGTTTCACCTGGACATTGAGAAAAATGTATTTTGTTTCTCATGCTATCTCCTAGAGGCTATAAGCACCTCTTTGAATGGATTCCGGGGTCCAGAGCTACTTCTCGTGATCCAGGTCTGGAGTTTGTTTAGCTTGTTTGTTGTGATGCACATGAGAATTAGGGGGGGCGTGGTGGATATGGGACGTGTTGGCATTTGATATCTTGTTTACCCAGTGTGGCAGTGCAATGCCCTCCGCTTCAGCAGTCGTCACGTAATTTATAGCTCTGATCCTTTAGTTTTTATTTTTATTTTTCGAGGTTAGTTTTTAAATTTAAGCGTCGATTCAAGCTGTTGGATCCATTCACGATGCTTTATCCAGAATCGATACTTGTTGCCCTTGGCATTTGGGATGCTGTGGGTCATCTGTCTATACCTTTTGTCTGGTGATCCTGTTTGACCCACTTCAAGACGACAGCGATGAAACCACCCGCCCGGTACACAATTTCGGTTGAGCAAGAACTGTTGTATTCTCCATTGCTGCAGTCTCCGACAGGCATGACATCAATTCTGTAACTATCTTAGCTGAATTTATGGCCGAACAAGCCAAAGGTGGGTCAGATCATGATTTGGTTTGTTTGTTTGTTTGTTTGTGTTTTTTTTTGAACTATTGTATTAGAAGAACCTCAATGATGGAGTTGTGTGTTGGCGGGAGAGCGTATTAACCTGCAGCTCCCGGTCAAGCGAGAAATCTCTCGCAATCATTCGTAGCATATTCCTGCTCTCAATGCTTTTCTCGCCAGAGATCGGTGTAAATTTTTGTGCGGGTGCCGGTTGCACTATTTTTGCTACAGCTGGAATAGTAAGGTTCTTGGACCTTTATTTTAATGTCCTAATATTGCCAATCAATCTAAGATTAATCGAATTGGAGTGATTTAGTAGTGGCTCATTCAAGGAGGTGAGAAGAATTGGTGAATTAGGTCTGTTCGTGTGTTGAGTGATGAAGAGAGTCCGACTGGCACATAATGCCGAGATTCTCATGAATCCACGGAGGTTTGATGTCTTGAGCTATGTGAAACGTATCCTGGCTGCCTTGTGTTCTTCCCTACTTCATATTGGCATCTTCTCATTAACAGTTAGGTGGCTAAGGGTGACGTCCCTCGCCGTCATCGGGAAGGACAATCTCTGAGATCTAAGCATGTTACGATAACCACATGCCACTTCAGCGAAGCCATTTTCTTCTTTAACGTTTGTTGACAGGATCAGGATTGTAAAAACTTGTTGACACTGAGGCCTACCGCATTTTAATCAGTGTTTGTAGTTCTTGCCGGGTGAATGGCTTTTAATTTTCATTTACACACGCTGTTGATTTTGATTTTTATTCAGTACTATTTCCTCTTTCCTTTTTTTCCTCCGTTGGTTATTTTTGATGTGGTGTCCTCAATTGATTAAATAGCCTCACAATCCAGCATGTGACAGACTGCTCAATGAAGGGTGTGCCTAATCAAACATAACCAACAAGAATCTCTCAAAGACATCATGAGGTTTTCTTGACATAGTGGGTTAAGACGTAAAAAATGGCTTTACTTAAGCAATAACTAATATACAAGAGAAGTTGTACGTCACATGAAGTCAACAAAGGGCTCAACGTAAGATATATATATATATATATATATACAAATATGTATGTACATATTTCTAAAGAGTTCATTTAACTTTCACATGATTTGTGCATGGATCATGACCAAAAGAACAGTGTCGTTGACATCCAGTGTGAAAACTTATCTGGTAAAGCTGTCCCTCCATTGAGCCTTGATGTCTTCGATTTATTGCGGCGAATCGTGAGTTGGAGAAAAGCTTGTTTCTATGCCTAGTAATCTTGAGAATCATCACCCCTTGAAAAGTGTGCTTTTTCTGCTCGTTTGACGATGATTAGACCCTGACCACCCATAGGCTTGAGATATATTGCATCCCAACCATAATCCAACCATAATCCATAACCATGCTGTAGCGCTTCCCCTTTTGGAACGCTGCGGAGAAATTTCAGAATTTCCACTTTCTTCTGCCACTGCTTAATCCATCCCGGATATGTTCGACTGGATACAGGATTATTAAATGGTTCTGTAGATCCTTCATAGTCTGAAGGTGCCAGTGCAGCACTTACCCTCTGCTGCTACCCATAGAGGAAAACCATGTTAGGATAATTGAATTCAATGTCCTTGTTGCATTCAACAACGAAGCTATTGACCTAGTAATCAACCCTCTTCGTAATCAACCCAGCCCTCTCTTACTGGACTTTATCGATTGTGTGGATGTTGTTCTCTGGTGAGATTCGCAAACTAAGGAGCCTCACAATTTAATGCAACGCCTATAGGTTCTTCTCAGAAGTTGACAGTTCTTATCGTTTTCATCTATCACTGTTTGTAATCTAGAGAACTTTCACGTACACATATACATATATGCTTTACATATTGGTCCACATAAATGTGCAGGTGATCAATTTACTTATTGCGAATAGACAACCCACAGGCCAGGCATGGAGACAAACACGAATGATCCTTCTCCTTCGTCAGGAGCCCACACGGACGAGCCCATCGTTGAGATTGTTGAGAAAGAGGACGGCTTCAATGGTCACTTCCCAGGTGAAACTTAGAAATGTGATGTGGATTCAGGAGCCTTCACAGTTTATCCACGGTTTGATCATGAATCGGGACAGCCCTGTCTTTGTGACAGTTGGTGATGTGAGCGCAGTTTGTTTGAGTGAGCTTGCCACTCCGCTCTGCTTTTGTAATGCTGCACCAGTGTTTTCGTTTCTTATCATTTTGTGGTCCTATTGCAGAACCTCAGAATGAAATTGTTTGGGGGTCGCAGGAGGATAATCACAGAGCTGGCACAATTGGAGATGTGCACGATAATCCTGCTTCAATTTACACAGATGTAGATATTTCAGTAGCAGGAGCCACTGATGGTACTCGGAGTGCGTCGGGTACAATGTCCACGGAACAAACCAGAAGTGAACGTTGGTTCGAGAATAACTTCGTGGTAGGAACTTGATTTTGAAGCAATCTATTCATAGGATAGGAATGTTTCGAGGCAGTATCAGTGAAGAAATTTTGATGAAGTGAAAAGCTTGAAATGCTGTTCTTATGTGGGAAGTCGGTGCTTTTTCCGCGGTCTGCGGTACTAGATTGCTCCGTCAGGTCTCTAGATCTAAACATACGTCAAATTAATGCTGTGACTGGTTTTCATTTGCAGCTTATAATGGTTTCCACCCTCCTTCAGATAGGGGTCAGCAATCGATTTACAATTCCTCTTCACTCCAGATTCATTCTGAGTGACTATGCGATGTTCGCATTATTTGAAGTTTCACCCTTTTTGAAACTTTTACAAACTCTGACTTACTCGTATCCTGAGGCTTCTTTTATCACTGATTTCATCAGATTGCTAAACTTTGGTTCTGCATTGGCTAAACTGCAGGCAGTTGCTACCTGATCAATGAGTTGAAGACAGGTTTCGGTTGATTAAGTTAAACGTTGTTTTGCAGCTGGGAATCATGCTACTCTTTTTGCTCTGGAGACTCGACCTCAGGCCGTTGAAGATTGTGGTGAGTTGGAGCTAATTGTTACGGATTCTAGGTGATGGTTTTGGAAAGCTTCATTCTTCGTGAACAATGAGAAATATAAATCAATAAAAACATGCAATTAGCTAAATTAAGCGGTGTTTTCCTGCCTCAATCTTTATATAAACTTTTTTTTTTTTTTTTTTTTTTTTTTTGAGAAACAAGACCACGATTTCATTAATTCCTTCGTACTTACTGCGGAGACTACTCAAATTGCATTGCGCAGGTAGTAGTAACCGTCTTATTGTCTGCTATTGTAACAATAGCCTACATCGGTGAATATGAATGGCAACGGGCGGGAATTACCTGACCCTTCAGTGTAACGATCTTCAGCCTTCATGGCATGCTTTAGCTCGCTATTGGATGTTTTCAACTCAGAAAAGCGCGAGATCTTGTCCTTGAATTTAAGGTCTGCAATTGAATTCTGTTGCATGTTAGTGTCGTTTTGTAGGTTTCGAAGTAAACTCGATGTCTGATTGGGGGTTAATGCAGCAGCAGATCGACCAACCTGTAAGATCCTCACTGTCGAACCTTTTGAATTTCTGTAATAGACTCTCATCAGTGGAAAGAGGCAGATTAACATTGGCAGGATTGGCAGAAACAAAAGTTCAGAATCTGCAATTTTGGGGGAGAAGAGAAGGCGAAGGTCTAAATTGTTGAGAGCTCCAGTCTCTTTAATATTAGTTGCTCTCGTGTGTACTACTTCCTCTGTCTTGGGCTTGATAGAAGAGGATCGAAAAGCACCTCCTGTGAAGTATGAAAAACAACACGTTAAAATTCAGCAAGAATGCTTTCAGCTACGAGGCAGTCCTATATCACAACTGAGACAGGAAACGAGGACACAATTGCTTGAATGTTACTAATTAAGCAAAGACACGCCCTAGATTCTATCACTTATATAAAAACATAGTGAAACCTGCAAACATACATCCCTCTTCTACGCAAAAAAATGTGGATGTGTAGTATGAACTTGTGCGAATGTGTAACATGGCTCCCCGACGCATCAACGCATTCGAACATCGGCACAATTTATGGTGGTCTAGTACAAACCTGGTCACCAAACTTTGCTTAAGAAAAGCGACACCTGTTTTCAGTGCTCTGACGTAATTAAAGAATAATATTGATTTCAACTCACTAGTTGTTTTTCTAGTCTTCTGAATTCTGCTAGTTTCAATTAATCTTCTTTTTCTTTTTCTTTAATTATTCTATTTAGACATTTACAAGGATTTTTTTATTTCCTTTTGCCTTTTTTAAACACAATTTTTTTCATTTAATACATCAGTTTAGACTATTAAACTTTATGATAAAATTTTCTAAAAAAGGCATGTCATCATGAGATCCTCGTCGTTTTAGTATCTTAGATCTCTCCCAGGAAAAAGTGTGCATCGTTAAATTCCAAATGTACTTTATCCAGATGAAGTCATGAACATGGACCAAGAAAGTCATGAAAGAAAATATATTACAACACGTCAACTTGTGCTTTGTAGTGAAAGAGAGTTTCAAACTCACTCATCTTTACATGAGAAATTAACTTGTTTTTTGTAGTATGAGTGAGTTTCAACCTTCTCCACTCTTGCATGAACAAAAGGGTTCATTATTCCATAAAGAAATTAAATTAGAACTTGTCCTATTCTGGTTGCGTTGCGTACTGTGCCCCGTCTACCCCCACAAAAGTTGTTGGATCATCACTCCAATGAGAATTGGATATATGAATTTAAACTGTAAGAGATCTGTATTACTTGTTTGTTCTCGTGAAGAAGAAATATGAAAACTGTTTCATCTGTTACAATTCCCCGTTTAGCAAAAAATTCTGCCGCTCCATATGCAATCTGGACACCTTTTCTACACAGGAAATGCATCGATTGCATCTACTGTTAGAGGCCACTGTTCGAGCTACAGTGATTACGACACTGATCAATGAATTTTCTATACTGTGCACATGGCAAAGGAACCACTTAGAGTCATATCTAGAACGTGTTGTCAATGTAGAGGGACTGAGTGTAGAGTTGGGTCTTGCCAGATGTGTGAATCTTGACAGATTTAAGCCTGCTTGGAAGAGAAAGATATTAGCCATATGTCCTTTCCCAAACCCTGCTAACTGATTGTGCGGTGATGGAACTTTATCGGCAGCCTGTGTTTGCACAAGTTGAGTGAATGTTTCAATTCTCTAGGTGCTCGAACAAGGATCCAATTAACGGACTCTTCATTTTATTCTCACAGTGCGGCTACTTGTTAAGAATAGTGGTCTACTGGTCTTTTCAGATCAGGTCTCGGGACTGATGTCTGTAGGTGCAGATTGGCTGTCCGGGCATGTGCTGATCACACGCAGTTGTTCACTTTGTTCCAATTCAATCGATAGAATATTCACTTTAATAAATTTTCCAAAAAAGTGAAACAATGAATCATTGGGGAGATGATACTCCCCTGCTCCTATCCCCGAAACCTCGCCTCATTACCTTGCGGTAACAACGAATTTCCAAATCCCCTCGCAAACAAGCCATCGATGATGCCAGCCAGATTGCCCAGAAAGCATCGATGTACGAAACAATAAAGCAACAAATCGGCAAAACCCAACCATCAGTAGATCCGAAACCTTTCACATACCGAAGACACTGAAGCGACGAAGCCCGATCAGAAGTCGGCGATGCGATAGATATTCTCCCGACTCTCAAGCTCTCAGAACTGCTCAGACAGTGAGAATCTGCAATACACGTTCTCATGAACTGACTCACCTCGGATTTAAAGCGATGCTTGACCCTCCAGCCACGATTCAGGAACGGAAAAATGCGATGGTGCGGAGGGGATGGCGATGCAGATGTCGACATCCGAGCCAGAGTGGAGCGGGAGAGGCTCCATCGCAGCAAAATGCAACGATTGTCCCCGCTGTATTGCAACCTGCTGAGCGTTCACAAGTTGACCTTGCAGAGATGCAGTTGGATGCGCTAATTTTAGTTCAAATGGTGTTTTCTCACTGCGAAGGAGGATTTTTGGAGAGCACATTGGACAAGAGTGGGCGGATCTATGTACAAGCAGTACACGATTCTAGACAAAGTGGGACCCGCGGCGGAGTAATTCTCTCGGGATAGTTTCTCCCCGTTGTAGATAGCTTCCCCTTTTTGGGGAAACAGTCTCGGCAAGGCTGGGTGTGGGTATATATTTAGTGCGGCGGATCATGGGGGCAGAGATGAAGTGGGGGCACTAGAGAAAATGCCGCTACTATCGTAGAACTGTCGACATTCTGTTCCAGATTCGATGCCATTGGCAGCATACGGCAGTGCGAAGGATTTTGACCATGGTTGTGATTTCATCGGAAAGAAAACTGCATTACCGAAGCAGATTGCCGTTGCACAACACAACTGTGATACGCCGTCTTGTGGAATCTTTACCACAGAACTTCATGCAACTTCGAAGGAATGCACCTTTACAGTGAACATGAATGTGAGTAGAAGTACGCCGCTGCTTCTTTTATCAGTCAACATATTTATAATGGAATGCTTGTTAATTTAGAAAATCGTAAAAATATCATTGGGTATGTTGAGTATAAGTATTTAATTATTCATTTAAAAACTACTCAAACAAAAAGATCATGTATATTTTGTTACTTATGATTTTGAGCATCTTTGTAGTTTTATAACATTTTGAATTTGAGTGTTAATACTTTCTAATATTGATATTTGAAAATGTTGAATCATTTCATATCATTTATTCACCTTTCAAAAGCATGTAATTGACGTAAATTATATACGTATATATATATATATATGATGATGAGTTTTATTGTTTTAAATGATGAATTTCAACCATTTATTTCTCAAGTTATAATTTTACATCACATTCAGATTTTTCAGTTTAATCAGTTAACAAACTAACAACACTTCATCTACGCTTCTTTATTTTTTTGTCTTTAAATCAGTTATGCAAAATAATTCTTCGTCCAATGAAAAAATTGATTTTTAAAATTCTTTAATATGTTTAGATTTTTTTTTAAAATTGTTCTCATGAGTGCTTTTTGCATGTTATTTAATATTGTATAAATTCAATTCAATCATATTTTGTATCTTTAAAGAATTCTATTCTTGAAACCACATATATATATAGTTATAAAATTTTCTAACTATCATTTAAATTAAAATTTTAAATTATTAAATACTAAAAAGTGTTACAATAAACACACATACACACACACATATATATATATATATATACATTGCAGAAGATCTAAAAATATAAAGTGAAATAAAACTTCACTTCTGCTTTCTAATTTGTATTTGATTAACTAACAATGTTTTTCTCATACACATATCTTACATACTAATAAAACATTATAAATTTCATAATACATCTGTTATTTAATTTATTTACTAATATTATTGTCATAATGATATTTTTTAAAAAATTTAGCTGCACATCATGTAAATTTTTATATGATCTTATGTATGAATGAAATTTAAAATCAAATTCTAATTTTTTTATAACAATTTGAGAACTTATTTCAAGTAGAAAAAATCACTCTATCAAAATACAATTTAGTTATATGATAATGATGATTTGAAGAACTTTCCTTGAAAACTGTATGAACTATTATGTGTACTATTATGAACCATCTTATGCATTTTATTTCATTTTAAATGGTCTCCAAAATCAAGTGATGTTGCATAATATAGTTTTCTTGATATTTATTTTTTAAAATTAATATTATTGGTATTGTTATTGTTAAAATGGTGATGCACTTTTAATTGTCTTACAATAGTGATTGTTTCCTTTCTTTCCTTCTTTTCTACAAAATTCCGTTCATCCTCATGGATTTTCATAGATAAATGACTTCCAACTCAGATCAGCTAATGATCTTGTGAAGTTTTGTACAGTTCAGTGGCTCTCAACAAATGATAATTTAAGGTACTTTTCCTAAGAGTAGAAAATTTTAAAAGTTTTATTTGTAGTTTTTAACGATTATAACCATGGAGATTCAATTTAAATAATAGCATATATAATTAGCCTTTAGAAATTTTACTTCTTGTAATCAATGCAACAAATTTATTTATTTTTAAAAACAACTCTTCTTGTGTTGGGTTTTATGCCGTTCTTTGAAATTCAACCTCACACTTTGTACTAATTCACCATTGCTTTATAAATCCTTGTTGAAGTATTAATCCTCTACTACCTCTTCAAATTTTAGTACATTCAACCCTAAGTAAAAAGCAACATCACATTGAAATTATAAGTATCAATTTCAGCAATTTCTCTAAGTAGTTGAAAGAGAGGATTTTACTTTATTGTGGGTTGTATGTAAATAACATTTTTAAGCAAAAGAAAATTATGGCCCAAATCTTAATTGTTGTGTTCCACTTTTTATATCTTAAATCAATGCATACCTATATAAGGATTGATAGTCCAAATTGGATTAATATCAGTTGTTCTGAATTTGTTAAAAATGATTATATGTGTACTAATATATGTGTTAAATAGTTAGAAATATGATTACCATATTCATTGATTAACACTACTCTTCTAAAATAAAACATAAAATGTAAAATCTTATCAGAAATTTCTTTAAAGTTTATTATATAGTTTAATAGATTGGCATGGAACTTGAAAAGAAGATTTATAGGCTAATCTCCTGCAGTTTTTATTTATTTAATGATATTTTAGGTTCTGAACAGTTTTTAGAAAATATTTGCACATTCTGATAAATACAGAGACATCATAATAGAATCTTACATGTTGTTTATATATTTTGAAATTCTGGTCAAATATTGAAGTAGATAAATCACAAATCTGAAATAACATATACACACATAAGCATTATTTATGACCGTTTTATTTTAAAATATCTTAAATCAGGTCCCTAAATAATGTCTAAATTGCAAAAAATGGAAATATCATTCGGGGAAAAAGTACTGATAGCTTTATGCGATCACTAAAACATTTGGTTTTTCAAATTGCAAATTAATAGTTTTAACACTTTTATAAACAAACCAAGTGATGTATAAAAGGGTGTTACAATTAACAACATGTGTCTAAAAATGATTTGAATAATGTTTTGTACAACAAGTATCAAATCCGAGAGCATTCTAGTCTTTTAATTTCTATATTTTTTTATGAAAACATAAATCTGTGTAAATGGCAATATTCTTTCAGAACTATACAAATCAATTCTCTTGTTGTAATTTCTATTATTTTTTCCCTTTTCATGTACTTGTAGAGTTAATAGCAAAAAAGAAGAAAAAAAAAAAAAAAAAAAAAAAAAAAAACTTTCTTAAATTAGGCATGTAAATCTCATCACGGGAGAGCTAAAAACTTGGATAAAAACAATAATAATAAGAAAACACAAATGATTAAAAATACAATGAAGTTTCTCAGTAAATTGGATTTTTTCTGTAGTACTGACATTGTCAGACATGTTATGTTTTTGGGTCAAATTTCACAAGCTTTTGTATGTCATTAACAACCAATTATGTGACGGAAAGTAAACGAGCACTAACTATATCATTGAAATTTTCAGACTATATTTTGGGTAGGACATACACACGACCATCAATGGAGATGCGTTTAATGGTTCAAGAAATGCTTCAGTGTCTTGATAACATGGGGCAATTCTAAAAACAAATTACTCCCGACACATGGCAAATCGACCACACCTTTGCTCTTCACAATGGATGCTACACTTTATTCATAGATTGCAATTCCTTGGTTTGCTGATCAACTCATCTGTTCCTAAAAAGATGCTGCTGGGACGAATTAGGGTTGTCTATGCTGCAGCTGCATTCTTCTCATCCAGTTCTCGGAGCAACTCTCGCCGCATCCTCATTGCTTGCCTGTCTAATTTGATCTGCTCCATCTTGCTTTCTTGACGTTCTGCCATCCAGCGAAAGACGTGATCGCCGCTAGTGACTATAGCGTACGTCACTGCCACCATAGCAGCGAAAGTGTATGTTCTCACCATTGTTAGTGATTTCTTCGGTTTAAGCCTCTCTCAGCAGGTGGCGCTACACCTGCAATAGATTCAATAAGCGAAAACTCATAAGTATCCTTACGAAGAAAATATTTGACAACAAATTAACCAGGACCCTTTCACAGCGCCCAGCAGAACATGAGTTTCATGTGCAGTAAGAATTATGTGAAATTCTATTATGTGAGACAAATAAAAAATGCATATCCACTGCAGCATTTGGTTTACACGATCCTACACAATCTAAAACGAGTACACTGTCAACAGAAATATCACAAAAAGAGGAAACAAAGTGTAATATTCCGCAAAGAGCTAGGCAACGAAGAACGAAGAACTTGGACATGCTTCTCACGCGAAGAGGACTGCAAGAGTAATAGTCAAATCTCAGTACAGAAGTACTGAAAACAACAAAGCTGTAAAAACTGCATTATAGCTTCCACTACACACTCAAAACCAGTGTAATCGGAAATTCTCACACACAACATAGCAGGGCCTAAGCAATGTGGAAAAATGCTTACAATCCTGGTAATAGTTAGCATCTCCACAGATAAATAAACCAGCAGTAACTCAAATTGTTCAAATCCACTGAGTAATCTTGAATCTAGTCATGGCAGGTTGACTAAGAACAAAAACTAATTTCACACCTTCTGTAGACATGTAAAAAAAATGGAAGCGATTTGCTGGAAGTACCACCAACGATTCAACTTCGAAACCTAAGGCCATAAATCTGCCGAAATCTAAATGGTAGTGCTACACAAATTAATGGTTACGGAATTCATAGCTGTCCTCAGGCGCATCATCAAATCAACACCAGGCATATCAGTACCTGACAAAAAAAATTCAGAACCAGATTTACACTAGTTGCAGCAATTCCAGTAGAAATGAAAAACGCAGTAAGCTCTGAAACGAACAAAGCAATGGTAAGACGGGGAAGAAAATGCCAGGAGAGGTAAACACACGGCGAGAAAAAACAGTCGACATTCGAGATATTCAACCCTACTTCTCACTTACTTCTCGAGCCTCTGTGCGTCCTCAGCGTACTTGACAACCAAATGAATCACACAAACTCCTCACGATCATCTTCCTCACAGAATCGACACAAGGAAAACATTCAGGAAATTGTAAATAAGAAACAGATAACCACGAGCACTGAAGAGAAATGTAGTACCGACGCGCAAAGAGCTCGCTCCTCCTCCACCACAGCTCTAGCACTGCCTCGCAAATGAAACCCTAGAGGGAGAATAGCGGAGATGAACCTCCCCTCCTTCTGGAGGTGCGAGACGAAGTTCCCCACTCAAGTTCCCAACCGGATCTCTATATCTGTACGATAATTTTTTATTTTTATTTTTTATGAACGTAATTGGGTGTTCTCCTCTTCTTATAAAATAAAAATGATTATGGAGTAATTGGACAAATCTTAGAGGTTATTTTTTAAGTCTCCAATTCACAATAAGAAATCCTAACATTTGAAGGTGGATTGTGGTTTGAGATTTGGATTGTGGTTTGAGATTTGGATTGTGGTTTATGATTTGGTAATGAGTCTCTACTAAAAACTATCTAGAGAATTTTATTGGATTTAATAAGAAAGTGACCCTAGAAGATATTTGTGTTTCTGCTTACCTTATATATATTATTTGATATTATAAATTTGTTTCTTTTAATCTTTTTGATAATTCCAAAAAGTAACTAAAAGAGATATGATTCATATATCTTATTATGTTAAAATTCTCCTATCTATTTTTTGGTGTCAATTTGATAAGGTTCAAGTTTCAAAAACGTCATTTATTCTAATAATATTATATTAATAATGTATTCTTAATATTAACACTCTTCTTTTAATAATTAGAATTAATCTTGTGCTACTTTCTATGGTCAAAAGTCTTTGCGTTTAAATCCTATATAATTTTAATTTTTCTTATGTTGATTTTCTAAATATTAAAATTTATTTTATATTTTTGATTTTATAATTTTAAAGAAATTTTCTATCTAAAAGGTGATTATTTGTTGGAAAAAAGTGTTTAAACATTTATATTTTAAGTCCTTTGACATGTTTGAGCTTTGCAAGTTTTTTGCTATATCTTTAACTATGTTGTAAATTTAGCATTAGATTATCTAATATAAATCTACATACTACCAATTTTGGCATTTTATAAGTTAGATTTGGTGTATTTTGTATTAAAAGGAGACTATTAAATTAGATTATCTATACATACTAGTTTTAATATTTGTCTCATCAATTAAGCAAAAACTGTTACTTATAAATTAAATATGTTTAAATCTTTCTTAAAAATAGATAGAATTAATATAAACTATAATATTTTTTGTGTTTTTTTATTTTATTTTATTTTTATTATGTCCATGTATATTTTTTTATAATACAATTGATAATTTATATAGCTATAAAAGAGAATTTCTATATTATATCAAAAATATTAAAAAATAATATAGTTAAGTAATAAGTTTTGTTCTACTTGATATAAATTTATAAAGTACTAATATTTAAGTCTATTTGGTATTCTTTAGAACAAAATTTATTAATGGATCTTAATCTAATATGGATCTCTAATAGAAGTCATTGTAGTTTTTTGATATTTTATATATTTTACTTTTTCTATATAATTTTTTTCATCATTTGTGCATATTCTATTCATAATATTAGAGCTAAAGATTTATTTCAATTTTTTTAAGGTTTGAACTTCTATAATATGTATCTAAGTTGGCAATGACTAAATCCACATTTTTTTTTTTTTTTTTTTTTTATGAAAATAACCATAAATTTTTGCATATGGGTTGATAATTTATTTTTCTTGGTTTTTGGATAGAGTGAGACCACTTCAATTATGATTAGCTACTAGTATAGTAGAAATTAAAATTGAAGGCATCTTCTGCAATTAAGAATATTTATAAAGCAAGAAGTCACTTTTTCTATCCCTTTCATTCAATTTATTATTGGTTTTTTTCCAATAAACAATCTTTTAGTCATAAAAATAAAAGTAAATCCAAATCCAAGTGCCTATATTGATTTTAAAAAAATTTGCCACAAAATAGTATCAAAGCTTTAATAAAGTGTAGCTTAAGAAGCAATAGGTATATATTATTATTATTATTAATATCATTATTCTGGCCAAGTAGATTGCTTTATGGACTGATTAAAAATTATTTAGTATATCTCTATAAGATAAGAAAGAAAATTAATTCTTACTTATTAAATCTAAGAACATAAGTTGAATCTTAATTTACAATACTCTTGCATATATTATTTGTATTAATTTTAGCAAAGTTACTAGCTTATAAATTTTTATTTTATTTTCTTATTTTTCGATTTAAATAAAAGGATTATTAATTCTAAAATAATAGCCTTAGAAACACTTTTCTTTTTAAAACTCCATTATAGATTGATGATATAATATCTTTTACAACGTGCAAATAAAATTTAAAGAATTCTATGTATATCTCATTTGGTTTTATGGTTTATTTATTTATTTATTTATTTATTTAAAGCTCATATGACTTTGTATAATTTACATACTATACGTGAGTAAAATAAAATAGAGTTTTTTAAATTATAGTTTTTATAATAAGAGGCAACAATTAGTTTTATTGGTGTTGCTACAAATAGAGTTATTTTAATTTTATTTTAATAGCTTAGAAACCTCCCTCCTTGATAAATAGAAGCCAATTCACATATGTTACTAGTGTTTTTTTTCTTTTATTCTTTTATTTATTGTGTCTATTTTGTTTTAAGAATAAATATTTTATTTTATTTTATTTTTTCGGCTCTAATTAATTTTTAAAAATACATATTTGAGTATACGTATTATTTCAATTTCCATCAAATTTATGTCTATATCATTTAGACCATTAATATTTCTGATGGTCTATTTATAGAAAATACCTCTTTTGTCTATTTAGGATTTCTACATAATATTCTTCTTGATGTAGATTATTATAGATGATTTCTAGTGCATTTTACGACCTTAATCCTTCATCTTTGGCAGGTTAGTTAGTTAGTTAGTTTTTTTTTTTTTTTTTTTTTTTTTTTTTTTCCTGAAATTATAATATATTTGTGTAATATTTTGTAACTTAATTGTGAAAGAAGTTCCGCCATTTTAGTCTAAAACATTTTAGACTGTTTGTTTGAAATCAAAATTTTCAAAGAATCTTATATTAAATATATCTAGTCTAAAATTTAGTATTAGAATAGAATTTTAAAGTATTAATTCATAAAGATATAAAATGATTCTAATTCTAATATTTATACATTTTTCCTTCTAAGAAAAAAGGATAGAAAAACCAAAATTTACAAATACAAGATTTAAATTGCTTAAAATTTATATTAACTTTGGTTCTTGGTATTGTAAAATGAATGCTTAACAAAGTTATATTTGTACTTATATATTGATATTTTAAATATAAAATTACTTCTAATGGTTTTTAGACATGCATAATTAAAATATACTATTTGTATAGGTAAGTGTGGCTAAACTAAGAATTACGACTTTTAATGCTAGTTGAGTGGGAGAGATTTGGCATAGAAAGTTGAAATGCACAAGTGGGTTGGATGAATACGTTAATTTGACTTCCTACATTGAAGTGTAAATCATAACTCTCTTTATATAGATTAATGTTCAATATAAATTAAGAGACTAGTCACAAGTTGTCAATTGTGTGTCAAAGACATTATTTTAAAGTGGATCAGTGCTATTGCACAATAAACAGTAAACACATTCTGTGTTACTTACTGCCATTTAATCGATGCTTGCGCGTAATAACTTCAATAATTTGTCATTTTTTTTTTCTGAGTGGAGGTTAATTTACAGAGTCTATTTGAGTAGATGCAGCATCCGCGATGGCAGAGAGGATGCCCGGACCTTGTGAGGAAGCTACAAGTAATTCCCATTTCAGGAAAGGCAATGGACATTCATGTTCACAGCTGCAAATTGCTCACATTCTGCCCTCTGAAAATTTTCTACGTTGGTGCGCACGGTGACGGGGTTTTCAGGTATTGATCACTGGCTGTAGCAATTCCAGCTTGTTCACATGACGTTATAGAGCAATTGTAGAATCTAGCTTTTGAAAAGTGCATCCGGGAAGAACGTCCAAACAGAATTCATTATTCATATTAAGAGAGTGAAATGTGGCCTTGCATGAAATACTGTTCTAGATGTAACCATCGCACATCTACAATGGTAATAATTTCAAGGCTACACAAAACGGTGCAAATCTTGTGGATTACGGTATAACAAAAGAAGCTGCAGAAATATCAATGCTACTTGCAAGGTATTCAAACTTAGCACAGGCCTCTGCGGCACTTGGGTTTCGAAACAAAGTTGAAAGTTAGTTGTCCCTTACTTACATCGTTAATCGACGGATAAAAGTAGGGCACGCTTCCGCAAACCCTGCAGCCATGTTCCGGAATGAAGTGTGCGAGACCCCTGATGTTGTGTCCCCACGCACCGTCCGTGTTCTGCAGGAAGGCGCAAAAACCGTCATAGCAAGCGATGTGCTGTCCGTTTTGGTACCAGCGGTTGGGGTCGATATTGTTGATGTACGATACCAGGATGCTGGCTTCGTTTCCGCGGCCTTCAGTGCAAATAAAGCTGCCTCGGCAATTGATCCCCAGCGCACTTGCGGTGCTTGCGCTCATAGCCAGGGCCGCCGCCAAGAAGATCATGAAGGCAGCGTTGAAGCGATTCATCTTCGCAGATCGATCCATGACCGAATTTGATATTTCCTTACGAGAGGAAGCCCCAGATCTGCTTCAGGTAGCAATCACTCCCCACCAAGAAGCTAAAATCTGACTAACTGGAACTTGGAATGTTTGCAGTTGCAAAAGAACTCTCTGAAGAGCTCACGGGCAGAGAACTGGAATGGAAGATCTGCAATGGAAATGAGGTACGTTTACTCTCAACTTGGACGTTTAAATAGCTGACAGGTCGAGTACAGTCAACAAAGCCCTTGTCGAAATGAAACTACAATACTGTAGTTCTAGTCGTCATGCCTAAGCGATCAGTAGACGATAACTGCAGCTATCGCTGCTACATGGAAGTCGATGGTCAAATCTATATCAGTCATGTCCCCATAGGAAAGCCTCCGAAAAGAGCTTCACGATTTCGGACATACAGTACGGGTTTCCTTAAACTAGTGCGACGATTTCTGCGATCCCTTCCACGTTGCCTATCCTCGTCCGTGCCTGGACTCGATTCCGAGCCTGCTATTCCGATCATGCCATCACAACCCGACGGGATTCCCTTCCCTCCAATCCTGATGCTCCCCCCCCCCCCCTGCTCGAGAACACCTCGAGTACACAACCACCACATCCAAGACGAGCGAAACGCAACAGCAAAGTCAAAAATGATTTTGATGAAAATGACAAGTTTAGGTTTTTCCCTCATACTGTGGAAACGACTACTTAAACTCACTGGTGTATTTCTTCAAACTTACCAAATAAATAATTCCTAAAAAGTGATCATAGACAAAAACCAGAAACCATTATTCGACAACCTAAATTGCTTGCTTTGCACAAAGAAGTGAGTTCCCTTTTGAAGTTCCATTTCTCTTCTTACACGAAAAAATTATGGATGTTATTCTCACTAATAAAGTTAGAATAAATTTGCAATTATTATAGATCTTAATGAGTTTATCAATACTATAAGAGTAAAAATCTTATTTCCAATGTGAATCATAGAGATATTATTTTTATGCCTATAGAAGAAGTTCATAGTCTACATCAAGAAGTTGTGTAGTTGAAGGAAGCAAGTAGATCAACCTCACAACCAAATCCAAAGAGTTTTGCCTCTACAAGTATGAGAAGAACAAAGATTAGTATGTTTGAGAAGTTTGATGGAACAAGATCAAAATTTCAAAGATTTTTGTAACAAGTCAAGCTCTATATAAGGTTGCATCTCTTCCAATATTTCAATGGATTTATTAAAGTCAAATTCATAGGTTTAGGATTATTAGGAAGTGATCTCTCTTAATTTTTACTTTTAATGGAAAAAGATTTGTAATTCTATTATGATTTGAATTCATTCTTAGAAGTATTTACGGCTACATTTAGAGAAAGTGATTGAAAAAGAGTAGTAGAGACCAAATTCTTATTTTTATGGCAAAGATCACAGTTAGTTACTATATATGCTACTAAATTCCAAAACCTTACTTGCAACATGGACTAAAATGATAAAGCCCTTATCAATCGATTTTAATATGGATTGAAGAATAATATTAAAGATTTTTTATTGAAAATATTAAAGACAAAATCTTTAGAATAATTTATTGCTTAAGCCATTGCATGCAATAATCAATTATTTGAAAGACATAAAGAACAAAGACTTGATTAGAGAGGAACAAATCAAACAATGGTAATAACTCTCAAGTTTTCAAAAACTTATTCATCAAGGCCAAAATCAATACAAATTGATATAGTATGTTTTAAACTCTTCATAGAATAAGAAAAGATTTGATAATGTGAAGAGGGATTATACTTACATTGTGGAGAAGCAAAATACAGTGCTCAATATTGTTCAAAGAAGTAATGCAACCACAAAATTAGAAGCATGGTTGCCAAAGAAGATGATGTGTCAAAAAATAAGTTTCTTCAATTACAACGGCAATAATGCGGCTAAAATCTCATATAATTCCTAACAAAGGTCCTATTCTCTCCTCAAATCTTTTATCTTATTTTATAATAGAAGTTTATTTAGAACCAAAAAATTACAAAGTCTCAGCTTTGTTAGATTCAAGAACCTTAGCCTATTTTATAGACAAAGACTTTGTCAAAAAACAAGAGATATTATTACTCAAGAAAATTAAATTCATATATGTAGAAGTCATAGATGGTTGTTTGATATCTTTTGAAGATGTTATACATGAAATCATTTAATTAGATGTATCAATTAAAGATTATAATAACATAATTATATTTTATGCAATAAGAACTTCATCTAATCTAATTATTTTAGAATTATCTTGATTGAAAAAATATAATCCTCAAATGGATTGGATTTTTCATAACTTTAATTTTTTTAATATTTTAATCCAAAATCCCATTACTCAAGTAAAAATATATAAGTCTAATATATCCAAATTCTTACTACTAGGTGGAAGAACTTTCATGCATGTTATAAAAAAAGGGTCATCTTTTGCAATAAATGCCATGCCTATTTTTGATGGTAGAAAGATGTCAAGTAATATTCCTAGGTAGTATCAAGATTTCTAAGATGTTTTTGAAAAGAAGAATGTAGATATTCTTCTAAAGCATCATTCTTATGATTATTCCATTGATCTTCACAAAGTAGCTCAACTACCTTTTGGACCAATCTATAGCCTATTACAAAATGAGTTGGCTGCATTCAAAGAGTATATTAATTAAAATTGGTTAAGAATTTTACATGTCATTTTAAAATTCCAATTAGGGCTCCTATCTTATTTGTGAAGGAAAAAGATGGATCTTTGAGGATGTGTGTCGACTATCAAAGATTCAAAAAAATCACTATCAAGAATAAATATCCTCTATCTTTGATTTTAAAATTTCTTGATCAATTCAATCAAATAAAGATCTATAGAAAAATAGATCTACAACGAACATATAATTTGGTATGCATTAAAAAAAATGAATGAAAAACTATATTTTAAACTAGGAATGGGCATTTTGAATATAATGTTATACCTTTTGGACTCACAAATGCATCAATTGATTTTTAACATCTAATAAATAATATCTTTTGTGAGTTTTTTTTATGATTTTTTTATTTGTTATTTGGATGACATCTTAATCTACTTAAAGAATATAAAAGAATATGAAGTTCACATTTTTTGTGTTTTACAAAAACTTAGAGATAGAGGATTATATGCCAAAATAAATAAGTGTGTATTCTATACTACTTAAGTTGACTTCGTAGGATACATCATTTCTAAAAAAATACTAATAATAGATTTAAAAAAGATCTAGACTATCATAGATTGAAAGATTTCAAGAACAATAAGAGATGTACAATTCTTTTTAGATTTTTTTAATTACTATTGGATCTTCATCAAGAATTTTTCTCAAATTGTAGCTCTACCTACATGTTTGATATATAAAGACAAACTTTAGTGGAGTAAAGAAGTCAAAAAATTATTTGATGCTTTAAAAAAGAAGTTTACTTTTGTACCAATCTTATATTATGTTGACTTTTTCAAGGTATTTTTTTATAAAAATGGATAGATCAAACTGTGCCTTAGATGAAGTATTATTTCAAATAGGAGTAGATGACAAACTTTATCAAGTAGCTTTTCATTCCAAAAACTTTTATGTAGCCGAGATTAATTATGAGATCTATAATAAAGAGCTCCTTGCAATTGTCAATTCATTTTAAGAATGGTATTATTATTTAGAAGACACCTCGAATCAAGTTACTTTATATACAAATCATAAGAAACTCAAGTATTTCATATTGGCACGTATTTTAATACGATGCCAAACTCATTGTAGTATGTCTTTATAAAAATTTGATTTCAAGATAACTTATCAATTTAAAAAATAATATGGTTTGTTACATGCTCTTTTTAGATATTCTTATCTTATATCAAAAGAAAGAGATGTATTTTTTGATTAACAAAGAATGGTTCTCTTAAAGCTAGAGCAATTTCATCATTGAGTAATAAAATCAATATTGAATGTTGATTCAATCTTTGTTGAGCAAATTCAATCAAGCATGTCTTTTAATCCTCTTGTCGATGATTTTAAGAGTAATTCCTCTAAATCTCATGATATTTCTAAATTCAATTTCAAAAATGATCTACTCTATTTTGAGGGATGATTATACATTCAAAAAGATAAAGCACAATTAGGTGTCTTTTAAACTCATCATAATTTTTCAGTAGTTGAAAATTTTGAATATAATAAGACTTTACAGCTAATATTGAAAGATTTTTGGTAGGATCAAATGTGGAAGGCAGTCAAAGACTTTGTGAAATTATATAATCTTTATTTAAGATTTAAAACTCCTTGCCATCAATCTTATAGACTTCTTTAGCCATTACCTATTTCAAAACAATCATATGTATATATATATTTTTTTTCTATAAATTCTATTATGGATCAAGTTTGTATGATTCTATATTTGTATTAGTAGATTATTTTAACAAGATGGATTATTTGTATCATATTAAAAATCTATCTTATATGAAGAAATAACTAAGTTTTTTCTCAACAACATCTATCACTATCATAGTGTCGTATTGTAACACGACTATATGATGAAAATATAAATGAAAAAGATTGTATTAATATTTAGCCATCTTGGATGTTAGAAACAGTGGCCAATTCCAGTGCCAATATTCAGGGGCCAGTTAATGTCACCCCATTGCAAGCTATACCACTGTACGTGACATCAACAATATGTTCTATTGCCGTCATCGAATCAAGTATCTTTCGTACTAATGGAACAATCAGGATCATTTTCTAACCCTACATGGAACAAGCCTAATAGGTATATATCGGTGGAGACACCCAGTATGCCTAATGAAGGTGCAAGAAGACCACTTCGTTGTTTTTGTTGTAGACAGATTGGTCATTATGCTAATGAATGTCCCAATTCCAGAGCCAATGACGATTACGCACTGGTGTATGGGAATTACAAGTAGTCGGGGCATACTTATTAGTAATGTAATGCTCCGTTCAATTTCAATAATCGGGATCAGCAGATCCAAAGCCAAGAAAAAAATTGAAGAAAT